TCTAGACCACCACTGCACTGTGCGATGTACGGTTGGCCTGACCGAAACAGTCATACTGTACCCGATACATCGGGTCATCTGGTGGACGACCCCGATGATGAAGACGAACAAGGTCAGTCCCATATTCTCCAGCAGTGCATCGCATCAGCAATGCCGGGGAACCCCTCCTTCACTCTTCGAGCAGACATTCCATCTGGACTAAAGTTTTCGTCTGACCACTCAACCCAAATAGCCTTGTTTCCTCAGGCAGATGACACCGTTCAGTCTTTTGCAGTGGAGGATACACCTTTCGGAACCTCAACTAAAACTAGCTCTGCTAGTGATTTATTTGCACTTGATGGAAAGGCAGATCACTTACCGGATCCGTCGCCAGTTTCTTTACATCAGAATCATGATCCTGACACCCCCTCGAAAGTAAACAAACATCTTCCACATTCCGAGCCTTGCAGCAGCCCTGGAAGTGCTGGTAGGATCGGTTCTTCAAGCTCCATCAATGGGGACACATCCTCTGACCTACTGTCCGAGGTCATCCAATCCGCAATGCCCAAAGCTGCCCAGTCAGGACTCAGTGATTGTTGTCCAGTTCCATCTGACGGTGACTGCCTACAGCTATATGCTGTGGAAAGTATCCCTGGGGAAGATGACCTCTCGGAATCTTCATCGATGCAACACATGAACAGCAGTGGTCTAAATTCATTATCCACCCAACCGTCGCTTCACTGTTCCTCCACAACCAGTCCGGCAATGGATGTAGTCGCCGCAGTTAGTGGAATGGGTTCCTCCGACACTGGCTTGTCGGCCCCGCCCGCTCCTCCACGCCGTACCACTTCTGTCTTGTCATCTCAAAAAGATCCTTTTGCTCCAACCAGTCCGGTTGTCACCCGTCCACAAGCGACCGTCGCTCCAATGCCCCAAGTCCAGCAATGTCCACCTATCACGACGGAACCTGCAGGTGAGTACTATTTGGAGGAACATGATTACTTTCTTTATTTTCATTAGTGATTGTGTTTTGTTCTGTACCTAGGTACGTTTTCATCGCTCCACTCACACATTGACAACGGAGCTGCTTGCTTTCCAATTTTAACCGCCCGACTCAAAACTTCTGAAGTGGTCTGGTCTTGCGTGTGGATTAAGCAGTGTTTTCTCAGAGTTATCAGCTAGCCTTAACTGAGTTGTTTGGTGGTCTGACTTCAACTTGCTTTGCACTAGGCTCTCTTAGATCTAGTACGAAACACTTTTCATTCGGGAGTACTGAGCGCTCTCTTAGATCTAGTACGAAACACTTTTAGCCCTGTCTTCATTCGGGACGACATACTGAGCTGAACTGTTTCCTTGTGGTTCGGGGTACACCATTCTGTGTAACCTCACATGTACTTAGCAGGCAGTTCGCTATAGTCGTCAAAAACAGACCGACCGAGATTGATTGCTGCTGCAGAAAAGTATTTCGTAGAAATTTGTCCTGCGACGTTTTTCTCCCTCTAAGATTGGATAAAAAGTAAACTTCATATTGATGTGTGTCCTGATTACCGATTGACAACCTCGCGGACAACCGCTTTTGGTTGGTCCTGTCCGCAGTCTCCTTAGACATTTTTTTCTGTATTTGTGGCAAGTATTAACTGGTTTTCAAATTTGAAGTGCCCATTAGTTCCGGATGCTCAGTGATCTTGGAACGTTTCTCTGTTCACTACACCTGTCCGCAGTCTCCTTAGACATTTTTTTCTGTATTTGTGGCAAGTATTAACTGGTTTTCAAATTTGAAGTGCCCATTAGTTCCGGATGCTCAGTGATCTTGGAACGTTTCTCTGTTCACTACACTGTTGTGATGTCATCTTTGAACAGTTGGCTCACGCGTTCTCAGGTCAATTTACCACACCGACCAAAGCAATGTAACTCCATTTATTTCTGACGTCACTATAACCTCTTCGCATACGTTGGTCAGTCCTCCGAGCAGACTTTCTTTGTGACAGAACTGATCCATCTTACCTTTGAGGAACTGGAACATCCGTTGCTATAGCAACTGCAGCCTAATCAATAGTCACACTCCCTAGCATTCATCAGTCGATTCAGCAGACCATTTCTTCATGTTGCTTAGACCGACCCCAGTTGATTCCGCATTCCGTAGTAGTCTCAGATTTCGTACAGTGCAAACAGTTCACGTGAATAGACTGTATTTGCTTAGTTCAGTACTATAAACATGCACCCTATAGGTCACCGCAGCGAACACTCAGTCATCACACTGGTTGGTTTGTTCGTTTCATAACTTCTGGAGAAGTGTGGCTCTCGATCGAACGTCCCGGGATTTTCTTGTCCTCTGCTGAGGGCCTTCTGTGTGTTCATGATGGAATGGTCCGTTTAAGGGAGCGAGGTCTCTTGCTAATTGGAATCGGCATTTCAGTCACACCTGATAGGATCGTAGAAGCAAGTCGTGATTTTCGACGCTGTATGGTTTCGACTTTCAGGAATTACTTAACGTGCTCTTCCGCCCATTCCAGGCCCATTGAAACCGGATCGTTTGCTCATTACTGATGGACTACGAGGAACGCACCGGGCATCCCTTACCCCGGCCGACAAGGATGATGCCAGTTCATTTTCCTCCCTGCTTAGTATTGAGTCTGTTGGACTGGAACATAGTCTACTGCAAGAGTGCATCACATCTGCCATGCCACGACCTAAGTTAAGTGGCCCGTTACGAAGACAACAACATCAGCCTTGGGAACCAGTTCAAACAGGATTCAGTGGTTCTAATGAAGCCACTTTGTATAAACTTTCCGCATTAGCCCAAACCGGTGACCACATTGAAAATGAACCCATAACAACAGAACCACAGAGTCTATCAACTGACCATGATTCTCCACCTCTTGGGAGTGGTCTTTCCGCTCCGATTCCCAAGCTTTCTTCTACTGGTGCTTGTTCCTCACTTTGTTCTCTGGCTTCATCTGTTGGTCATAAGTCGGCGCCCTCTGCCCCCACCACCACCGCAGGCCTGGTAACAGACCAAGCCCCGCCCTCTGCGAGGACGAAACGAAGCGGCGCGCTTCATTTTTTAGCCAATGGCTCCGACGGTGCGCCCCATCCGCCTCAATGTTCCATTCCAACGACCGCGATAAACGACAACAGAAGGAGTCCGGGTCCAACGGTCGTCGGAATGAGCGCGGAAAACGTCACCAACGATGGTGCATTGTCGGAAGCCACAGCCGGTAAGTTCAATGTCGCGTGTTTTTTCATTCTGATACGAACTGTCATAACCTGACTGTGCACCCAACGACGACCCACGCTTCTCATCACAGTTGCCCACCCCTGCACTGGATGATTCTCAGCAGATCTCACCGAAAAACAAAGGCGAAATTCGCAAATCCATTACTTCGATCAACTGGTACACTAAAATGCGAAATATTGGCGCAGCAAAATCATTGTACCTCTTCTTGGTGCTGTTTCGTCTAGAGAGTTTTGGTTACATCCTGTTCATTTGGCTCCAACTTACCTCGCTTCACTTCTAATGGGTACTTTAGTGACATGGCCGACGCATCTTGAGTTCCATTTCATGGTAGCCATCCATTTATTCATCAAGTCCCAGATGTTTTCACCTTTGTATACCCATCGTGATAATAAATTTTACGGTGCCTTAATCGAGTCAAAATCCACACCACGGTTCAACATCTTCACGAAACTAAAAACGGGGCAGCTTACGATGGTGTGAACGAAGTAGACCACTGTGTTGTCGTGTTTCATTATCCCACTCCTCTGTTCAGTCATGGAAACAAGTGGCTACTACGTGCTCTTCGGCCGGTCGGATCGCGTGATGGCTACGCATCGGTAGAGTGCGCCGGTTTACTTTCGTAAGCATGAACTAACAATTTTATAAATTGTTTTAGCAAATGTAATAATTTTGACGCTATTTGGGTAAAACTGAAGGGCAATCAGCGCTGCATTTGGCATTACACAGCTCCCTTTCTCTGGAGAGAAGTAATCTCTCCTATGTGGTTCCGCGATGTTCGAGAAGCTTGGGAGACTAAATGCGAGAAGCCTCTCTAAAAGAGTTCATTTTCTTGGAATTAAATATGCGCCTCTTTGATTTCGAAATTCTGCACATGCCTGCTCTAATCCACTGCTATCTTCTCTGTTTCTAATCCCAGCTACCACTAATGAATCTGCCCGGTTTATCCCACCTTCGACTATTCCTCACCAAAGTAGTCTCCCCGTGCGAGAAAGCCGTCTACCTTGTTTGAAACGTGTGCAGCCAGTTTCTCCCCAAGTTGTCAAAGAACGTGACATGACCGGTGTGAACGATCAGGTTGCGATCGATCACACTCTGTCCAACATACTTGCAGAGGGGAGTCAGGTGAGACCCGTTTATCTACACTTCGTTGGTAAATCATCCTCACGCCCCTCCTATTGAATGTCAGCAGCATCCAGTTTCTTATCCATAGCTGAACAAAAGATATCATTCGAAAATTTGCACTGAAGCAGTTGAACCCAAACAGTGCGTTATTTTAAAAGTACCATCAAACGGGTCTTCATGCACGGACCGCCATGTTACTGTCAGCTTTTTGCAGAACTGTGATATGTGTACACGAGTGCGCAGCTTCGCATAGCCATCTATAGGCTAGTTTCCAAAATCTAAATCCTTGATGACCTGTTGTTTTTATACCCCTCCCTTACGTTCTCACAACTACCCTCGAACAAGTCCCCATCCTCCTTTGAGGGAATATGACTTTCCGGGGATGATAGTAATCTGATATGTTGATTTCAACGTCGCAAGCACCACCACAGGGCTTTAATAAATCATCGTTCGCTTAACAGCGCTCGTGTGCACGTTTTGTGATAATACATCTATCCTAATGAGTGTTCCATATTGGTCAAGTGTTATTTTGCAGTCCACACAAAGTGTCATTATGGAACGCATGGGTGTTTTTTTTCTATTTTCAGTTGGTAAAATAGTTTTCAGGTACTAATATTCGCTTGTTGTTGGTTGTCTTTGGGTTCTCCATTATCCGCATCAGACTGTATGTGTGCCTAGGCTCCTTAACACGACAATACAATGACGCGTCCTCCTGGAATTGTGAATCACCGGTAGTCCACCTAAACGTAGCTTCGGTTCTCCCTCATGCACCTTGGTCAACCTTTTTCGGTGGCATTTTGAGGCGACAGGTTGACGGCAACATTCCAGAGGGACTGCCCGTTAGGACTTGTGGGCGAGTATCGTTAGTTCAATGTGGGGTTGTTAGTATCTGTTTGTTTCTGATCACTTGCAGATTTAGAAAACACCATGACATTGCCTATCCGCATATCTCCTGGGTACTGTATTCCATACAATATAAGCGTATAAGCAGAGGAAATACATTGATTGTTCGAGAAATACACTCATTCACAAATCAGTTTAGTATTCACGAAAGACTCAACTGAATCTCTTGTTTATGATATTCTACAACTGAATGTGCTGCACATAGGCCGCCTCATGTTTCAGTTGTCACGATATTCGAGATATCGCAGTATATTTTCACAAAGGAAACTACTCACAAGGTTGCTGAAAACTCTTCGACAGTCCACGACCAGTTTTGCCCTTCTTGGTGCTCATCAGGCTTATCTCGTGAAAACCAAATTGATTTGCAAATAAGTGTGTTTGTCGAAATCAGTCCAGTTTGGGTTCAAACAGAGCATAAGATTGACGGAAGCTCGGGATTGCGCCTACCTGGTGAGCCCCAAGATGGGCAAAACCGGTCGTGGGCTGTCGAGGAATTTTCAGCAACCTTATGAGTAGCGCATTACAAAAATATATATGTATCGCGATATCTCGAATATCATAGCGACTGAAACATGAGGCGGTCTGGTGCAGCACGTTCAGTTGCCTGGAAACATTAAAACCGAGAGATTCAGCTGCGTTCCAGATGAGCCTCTCGAAAAACCGAATTGGTTTGCAAATGAGTGAATATTCGCTAATTTCGTGCAATTTGGTTTCAAGTAGAACATAAGGTTGACGGAAACTCGAGGACTGCGCCTACCTGATGAGCCCCAAGAAGAGTGAAACCGGTCGTGGGTTTTCGAGGAGTTTTCAGCAACCTGATGAGTAGTGCATTACAAAAAATATGCATTGATTCTTCTTTCCTTGTATACCCTCAACCAATTCAGTGGATCATGTTGAAGTTGGTTATTCAACTTCTGGTCGTTAGGTTGATTACTTCGTGATTCAAAGTATATTCGTTGGACATACGAATGGACAAGACGGTCTAGGACTCGAGATAGTGTATGCAGTATGGAATAAAATTGGTTACATGGGAAAGTTATTCTCACCTCAGATTTGGCCCGATCAAAATAGTAACAAGCTCATTAGCCATCATCAAGGAGTAAATATGAAGTGGACCAAAGGTTAAAGAGGATAAAACTCGCAAACTGCCAGCTGGAAACTGCCGATCAACACAATCCAGCAGCGAAACCGAAAGGACGTCCGAATGTAGTTGGGGGTGTTAAGAATATGGACTCGGGACTGACACTGTGCTCATTTCTAAATTTTTTGTATGTGAGTCAAATGCGGAACTTGATTCGGTCTGACCAGGAGGACAAAAACGCGTACATAAAGGGTGCCGTTCTCTGAAGCACAAAATATAAAACTTTTCGTAAAAAATGGTTACTCATTTGGCTTCAAGAAACACAGCACTGTTCGCGCACGGTTTAGTCTATCATCCAATGGTGACACACTCGTTGAGATCACAACACGCCGACTCAGGAACGTAGTCGAATCGACTCGTTGTGCATTGTGATCAAAGCGTATCCCTTTGGTGAACTACCTCTTCATGCTTCAAATCCTTATGTCCAAGTGTTCACACGGGGCATCATTCATTGGTCACATTACCAGATCTGTCTGGGAAAGGATCCGCGAAAACAACCCGAAGGGATCAAATAATAGTTGAAAACAGCCAGATCCAACACCTCCCCTTGGATTCAGCTACAGCAAATACTGTATGCCGTATTTCTTTCAACCAGTTAGGACTGATCGGACTACCAATGGCTGCAGGTGTCATCTGAACAAGACTGCATAACCTGCCTTGTACAACACGCAGATGCGGCGTGTTCGGGCAGTCATTTTTCCCTCAATACTGATTACATTTGGACCAAATATTCGACCGGAAGTCAGGCTGCAATTTAAGAAAGCAAGCTATATAGTAAATTGTAGTTCTGACACCTAGAGTTTAATTTGCAGACCACATAAGACACTCATTTTGGAGTCAAGTTGTATGTCTCGGCATTTGCGATTTGCTTCCGTTCATTCCCCGTAGAGTACTCAAAACTCTCTTTTGAAACGTGATATTTCTCTATTCGTAGGCCATATTAGCAGCGCTACAGGCCGCAGCTGACGAGGACCACGTGTCTTCTGAGCAAGTGAACATGAGCGAGCGGCCACTTCTTTCGGCGAAATCATCCGCCCACGCAACTTCTGTATCACCTGGTACTGCCGTTTCCTCCAACCATCGAATTCCGACTGCGTCTGTTCTCCCTACTCGTCTCGTCCAACCATCTCAGCTAATCAAACCGTCCCCCGTTCCTCAAATCAAAAGTGATGGCTCAAAATTGGATCCGAAAAATTCAGCAAAACCCACTTCTAAAATAGTAAGTCCAGACGATTCGTTCTGACTTTTCTGTCTTCAATTAAGAATTCAAAAATTTTGAGCCCATTTGTTTAGGGGAATCGTACTCAATGGTAGTCGCAGACCTTTGCCGGTAGTAGCCGTACTGAATTGTCTCTTCAATTAAGAATTCAAAAATTTTGAGCCCATTTGTTTAGGGGAATCGTACTCAATGGTAGTCGCAGACCTTTGCCGGTAGTAGCCGTATCTGAATTGTCACGTTTGGGCAGGTTCGTCCAGCGCGCACTGATATAGTGGTTAAAAGTAACACGCTTACCTTCCATGTCAGACGTCCGGAGTTCGAACCCCTTCCAGGCCAAGAACATTCTATGTTAATAGATTCTAATAAGAACGAAACTTGGGTCCAATACTTCCCCCTTTTTATGTGGACTCGCCAGAATAATTGCACTAGGACAGAAGGATGGCTGTTCAAACGGGAGTGGTGTGAGTGTGAATTCTGAAAATTCTACAGAGGCACGGTGCTTACAGAGCACTTACAAATTAGTGGGATTGGAAATCTGAAGTTTGGTGTATCCGTTTTTCATCAAGTGAATCACAGCCAAAGCAATTGAAGTTTCTTCGAATGGTGAATGAATTGGCGGATGAATTAGTAAGGTGACAAAGCAATCGAATGTGTGGGAGGAATCATGACAATAAGAAGCTTGTTTTATTGTTACTGTGAAGTGATCGGGAACGCAGGAGATGCATTCGTATCCTGCATTTTAGGAGCAGTCGATAGTCCATCTACTGTCAGCGAACATAATTTGACCGGTGACTAAGCCGTATGCGTGGTTCTCCCACTACCTGTTATTCTGCCGCATTCCGAACCGATGCAACGAATGTTTCATTCGTCTATTTTCTTTGTCTGTATCATGTCAGTCTTGATGCCAGATTTGTGTATCATCTCCACGTCTCATCTCTTCCCTCAAGGTCACCCCAGTCCAGGTCGCGAAGCAATGTTCGAAGACGAACGACGCCAAAGCGGAGAAACAAGCCCGCGCCGTCGCAAAACAGTATCGCCCGACCACCACAACCTATTCTGTTCAGACAAAAACGCCATCGGTTCAGCGTAGTGGTCTTCGACTTCCAGCCAAACATTCGATTCAGTCTCGTCTGGCCTCAACTTGTCCGCCATCAGCTACCGGTCGGTCTCTGGTCTCTAGCCGGTCCACTTCAGTGTCCGGTTCACAGAACAATCTTCACTTGCCAGGCTCAAAACTCGCCGTTCCTTCACAGTCTATCTCTGCACAATCCATTTATGCTGCACTGGCAAAACAAGAACGACACGCTACCATTAACAACAGCAAACTAGCCAAACCCACATCAGCAGCTACCTCAAAATACAGATATTCATCATCTGCGTCCACAATTCCAACTTCAGCGAAGAGTTGCAATCCAGATTCGAAGGCTTCGTCCACACCCAACGGACATCTATCCAATGTGCATTCAAATTCAGACCAATTGACATCGAAGTTTGGCTATAGTGCTACGTCGTCGCCATCCTTGGTCAGTGATGACAATGGACCAAAACCGATCCGCGGTGGTAGAAAGTCCCTAACAGGTACGTGTGTGTTTGAGGGTCCAAACGTTTGGCACACTATCGCTTTTGTTCGTAGACGTACCATCATTCTTGTTTCATTCGACAATTACCGTGTGTATGAATTGCACGGTGAGAAGTTCTGGTCAGCACCCACCTCGGACATTTGGCCGAAAACTGTTGTGTACATTGGTGCTTACTGAATACGCGACTTCCAATTAAGCATAACCACGCTGTGTTGTTCGCTAATGTAACAATCCCCCGATCCCAGACAAAGAAGCCTCTCCAGGAGACGCCGGCTTGTCGGCGGAGATGCACATCGAGCTGTGATTTATGGGGGGATTTGCTATGTACTCTCCAAGAGATGACCTCTTCTTTGCGCTATATTTGTCTTGGGTTGCCTAATGGTTTATCAAACTACGGGTCAACTTTGCTACTCCTATCGTGTATTGTGGAAGTTGGTTATCTCATGCTCTACACAGTTTCTGGACGCTTCTTTTTTTGTTGGTGCTAGTTTTAGCAGTTACTAATTATGGAGTCCGTGGGAGTCGCCAGTGGAAGTTCTGCTCGTGACGCATGCACACCATTTTCTTAGGGGAGCTTTATTTTGTATTTTACTGTTTGCTGCAAATATCCCCCAGCGGTTTCTTGTGTCATCCTATGAGTACCCCCATTGTCGGTATTACTGTAGACTTCGCCAACGGGCCTTGTGATCCGGTCCAAGTGAGCGTCATCTTCCCAGAGATGGCAACGGTAATGGCTTAATGGAACCTCCCTTTGAGGCAGGTGAGACGTCTCGTGTCCTAATGGGGTAACAAATACTCCCTTGAGACTCCCTTGAGAGTAGATGGATGGATGAACGTTTTGCTCGAATCGACGTATCACTCCCTATTTGTTTCCTAAACTTGTAATGTTTGTTTTCGACACTTTGTTGGTATTCAGGGACAGCACATTTGCAAGCACCTTGCGCTTTGTGGGCTCCTAACTCTTCAGTTGCGCTGTCATCTAACCCGATAGTTGGATCACCCTTAAAGCAATCAATTTTGGTATTCTTTTGGTATCGACGTAGAAACGAAAGCCACCTCTCAAACCTCCCACCCTTGTACATCATTTATCTAAACCTCTGGAGTATCAAATGTTTTTTTTTGAAATCTGGTTAATTGTGTCGTCTATCTAGAAACACATACGCTTTCTAATCAGTCCCTTATAAGCCGAATATCCTCTGACGGATAGGCATGCTCAAACAGGCCGCGTGTACTTCTCACGGTATTTATCGGAAATTCCAGCTGTGCCACCAAGTATGTTCGCGGGAAGGTATCTATGATTGCCCCCTTTTATCTATCCCATGCGCAACGAGATACGGGGATCTTTCTTGAAAGTTTTCACTTACATGAAGAGACTTTTAGGCATGCACAGGTATGCAGTTCGTCTGAACTGCAGAATCCTATCTTCCCTTTTTGGGAACTCTCTCCTGTACGATAACCTTTGCAAAATTGTAGTGCATTCCAATTATACAACTAAACCGGAGAATCCAATGTTTGCGTAATTGTTTACTGCTAGCTGTCTTATCGATGCTCTTGTGATACGTGAGGTTAGTGGTGATCTGCTGTCACTTTTAACCAGTTCTCTTCTTACAACTTGCTCGGTAGAACACGAGGTGAGCACGTATAGTGAAGAGATTCGTGCAGTCACTTGATCAACCTATCACAGGGAAGCTATCGATAAAGGTCACTTCAAGACGTCAGTCGCAATTAACTTCCCTTGAGAAGCTGTATCTCCATAGGGAGATTGTTGATTGCGTTAAGAATGTCGATTTTTTGTCCTCCTGAGAACCATTCCACCCCCACTTGTTCGTTTGATTGGATCGCGTTTAATGTGGTTCCACTGGTTGTTATACCCTGTGTGTGCTTGCTATCATTTTCTAGTACGTCCGTGCTGTTGATTCTGTCTCATTTGCTAGGTCGGAAAATGGCTACTACGAATGAGAAGGTCTTGGAAAAGGTGGTTATTCGCCCAAATGGTCCCGCTTCACGTCCTTCCACACAGGTGAATAGTGCTGCTAACCAAACGTTACCGGACTCTATTGGACACCATATACGTCGTACCTCTTCCCATGCTGAACCGACCCTCACTCCAAAATCAGCAAAGTCCAGTCTGACCAAACTCCCGTCGACAGCTTGTTCGGGCTTGACAAACAAAACCGGTGTTATTCGCTCGTCGTCTCCGACTAGTCCCTCCAAACTACATACCGAACACAGGGACACAGAAGCTGGTATGTGGATAGTTCGTGGTGAACTGACGATGGTCGAGCGAGCTAGTTAAGTATTCCCCATACTCCCCCATCGTGACTTTTCGCATTTTGTTAGGACTATTTTCCTCCATTCTGCCACATGCCTTTTCTATGATTAGGTGTACTCACTCTCCTTTCGTTTTCACTGACCGATTCAGTTGTTTTGTCCGCTCTCTTTCCACGTACATCGTGCTTGTAGACAACTTTTCAGCTGATGGTGTAATGAGCGTCAAGGGAGTGGTTTTTAGATTTTTTATCTTGTCACAATAATAAATCTAGTAGTTAATATGTACTTCATCATTTATTCATCCGCGATATCTGGCTTTCTTTTCGGTGTAAGAATTCAATCTCGCGCGATCCTCCACTAATAACTAACTGTACCTCTCTTATCGGTCTGGTTCACCATTTACCGGTCCTTGATATTTTTCTCACCTTGCATTACAGCCAACTTTGGCTTTTCAGCACGCTTTCGACCTATTCATCTCTCTAGCGCCTTTCGTGATCATGTCATGTACGTATACTTTCGTCCGTCTTTTTTTTCTTTTGTCATCGAGAGGTTTTGGTTTTCGTCCGTCTTTTTTTTCGCTTGTCATCGAGAAGGTTTTGGTGGAATTACAAGTTCTGAACACTCGTCCAGGTTTTTGAATTACGAGATGATAGGGGACGCCACATTTTTGTCCACCTAAGACCAAACCAGACACGCACTGTCAAGCAACGTTATCGGCACGATTTTTTTCGCGGTAGCTGTTGGTCGTTGAGTCGCCAGCATGTCACTAGATCAACCGATGTTCCAAAAATCAATTTAAAAAGCGCAAGAACTAGACGGGGCTGGTCAGGATATCTGCGGAACATTGCATTTGACTTGCTCTATTTGGTGATACGTTGTTTCTCTGATGGTTCAGTTTTTCATTTTGCTACCCCTAAGTGATTGTAGTCTAGTCTGTACATACTTGACAACTGACCCCTAGAAATGAAATTACGAATCATTTTAACTATTGCTTGTTGGGCAAATGGCTGGCGTTTCTGTTGCAAATTGTTCCATCATCATTTGAGGAGACACAATAATTGCGCGTTTCGGTGATAGTGTTTCACTGAATAGCGAAGGCAACTGGTCAATAACCTGTAAGCGCACCCTGACTCTCAACATTTCGAATAGGACCGCTCTGTGTAGATCACTGTGTTCCACAACCCGATCAGTAACGTTTATTAGCAAAGAAAGATAAAAGTTGTAAAGAATCGGCTGGGAAAGTGAACTCAACCGACTGTCTAGGTTCTTGTGGTTTGAGTCAGTTCCTCACTTGTACCTGAGGAGTTTTTTCACCTCAGCCTTAGACAGATTTTTTAGATGGCCCATGAGTGAGCTGTTTTATCCTCATTTTCCAATGAAAGGTAAACCATTATTTGCACTCCACATTCTCAACTAACGGAATTTCGTAGGAAACTCGATTCGTCTTCTGCATCACCGCCGGTACTGAGCGTACGGCAGTGAAGCATCGGTGTTGAACACTGATGTCATGCTGTCGATGATGATGATGAAGACGGTACTGAGCGACAGATGGCCTGGTTTTGAGAAGTGGGCATTACCGTAGGAAGTCTTGCTAGGTTGCTAATGACGGTTGGTTGCCCCTAAGATTTATTGTCGATCTGCTAACCAGGCTAGGCATGGTCAATTTTCAAACATTTCGCTAACGTTGAATAATATACTAATTGCGAGATAGAATTGCAGACTGTTAGTGGCACACTGAGGTAACGTCTAGTAGTCGCGTTGTATTGACGCAACACGTTCCTTGTAAGTAGTGCGTTACATGTATAAAATGTATTGCGGTACTGGCTTATCGTACCAACTGAAACATGAAGCGCCTTGATGTAGCACATTCAGTTGAAGAACATTATAAACGAGAGATTCAGTTAGGCGATAACCAAAGTGGTATCCAAGGCGCACTGTGCGACTGTACGGCTCACGTGTACAACTAAAACGGTTGCATTCCGACTGCCTTACACTCAAGCTTTTTCCGACCAAATTTGCATGTGGCATGACCATGGTTCTCAAACCTGACCAAGGAGCATTGCGGATCGGACAATTCTACATAACACTGTCCGCTTAAAGCAGTAGTCATTATGACACAATAAATAGGTTCGGCAGTATGATGCGATGCACTCTTCTCTCGTCCGTATAAGCTATCCTTTAAAACTATGGCCAGAGCTAGAAGCGATGTTTGATCTAAAGTGAACAGACTGCCTCTTAGGCATGCAAATCTCTTGGAAAATTCTAAGGAGATTTCTCCGCAATGATGCTATATCCAACCTAGTTTGAAGCAGTTTGAATATAATTAATGATTTGCTTGCGGACAGTTTGACATCAGCTCCATTCACTCCAGTGTCCGTGACGCTGTGCCAAAAGGAATCTCACTGCAATAACTATGGAACGATGCGGTCAAGTTTGTACTAAGTTAATTCGATCGGTCTATGGGAAACCGCCTGTGGTCCGTACAAACTGCTCCTGGGTGCACGTGTCCGGGCTATGCAGTTTATAGCAGTCAGTTCGTTTTTTATACTTTGATGTGCAGAGGATATTTTCGGTCTCACCTGCTCTTCTCTAGACATTACTATGGCTGTTCTCCCCGAAAGGATGTAGGCTTTAATTTAACATAGTAAGTGCACCATAGGAAGGTGCTGGAATAATGGGAACTGGATCATCATCGACAGCATGACATCAGTGTTCAACACCGATGCTTCACTGCCATACAACCATGATTTATTTGAAAGCCATATTGTAAAGAAAAGAGTAAAGGTGGACGGGGAAGGGACCTAGTTCTAGCTTAACACAATCATTCCGAGGCGCCTACACCCCCAGACATTCACTCAGACAATCTGGATAGAAACTGACAACAAGAACACCACTGACATCGGTTGGCAGCCATATCTTGTAGTGTCTCCAACCAGGCACAGTGAGGATCACGCGGTCCCCATCCTGGAAGGCGAGTAGCACCGAAGGCGACTGGACCCAAGCGTTTCCTGGTCTCCTTCGTACTCCTCTGCCAAGTCAAGGGTTGTCCACCTCTCTGTTTACGCCACTCTGAACTTGGCATGGAAAACAGCACTCTCTTCGGCAAACGATGGTTCGGCATACGTAACACGTCCGAATCAACGCAGCTTCTGGTGCTGGACACATTCTTCAATGGAAGTACCCGCTACACAACCGAAAAGGCTCTTTCTAACTGACTTCATTGTTGAACCATAGCGGAATAACTTCACCATACATTCATATGGGAACTGACAAAAGTAGTTTGGACAGCGCTAAATTTTCTTTACTTTAGAGATAAACGGCATTCAATTAAGTTACTCCAAAGGTCAGATTGTCTGTTGCAGGGGTAATTTCGTCAGTTTTGGTGCTATTCATTTCAGAAAGGGTGATGTATACCGTATGAATTTGTAAACGTCTTTTAGTCACTTTTTTCCCACCATCCATCAAACTAACATGATGCTCTTTCAGTCTCTGCACCTGCTCCTCTGACAAGTGCATACACCTTCTTCTGACAGACGCAGATCCATTCGGACGACCAGTAGACATTCTATGAGGTGCCAGAATTCAATTTGTCAGCATTTTTATTGGGTTGCGATTTCTCGGCAATCTTCCAAAGGTCACTGAACTGGTCAGAAAGTACGAATACATGATTGATGTTTCAGATGTCTTGGCGTCTGTTTCATGTTCCGGATAGGTATTGCTGTGCTTTTTCTGTCTAAAGGGTGTAGTGTGCTAGAAAAACTAACCGGCATTTTGTCCAAATGCCTTATTTATTACTTTCCAACATAAATGAATCGATATTGCCAACAAACCTCAAGAAATAGGATACCCAGTGTGTTTGATTAGGCGTCAACTAGACCCAGTAGGGAATGGATTGGCACAGCAGTCATTCCATATAGAGCAGGAACATCGGAGGTTATTCGAAGCTTAGCCAACATTCGAGTAGCTTTTCAGAAGGGAAAAACGCTACACTCAGTTTTGGTGCAATTGAAAGACCCCCTGCCGGTTGAAAGAACTAGGGACTGTTTGTATAAAATTAACTGCAACGATTGCGCTAAGGTTTATATAGGACAGACTGCCAGGGAATTGTACACCAGAATTGGTGAACACAGAGAAGGATTAACAAACCACCAAGGAATGCAGAAGAATACCAAACGCTGGTCAAAGACTCAGCGATGGCGATACATGCCTCAGACACGGGACATAGAATAGATCTGGAGAATGTGGCAGTTTTAAGACAGTGACTGTGATTCAACCACAGCGGGCTGATAGCCGAGGCGGTGGAAATCACTAAGCACCACAGCGTGAATAGAATCGAGTGTGTGGAGCTAGCGAGCGTATGGAAAGCGGTCTTAGATAAGCCGAGTTGACACGTGACGGTGTGGCTGTCAATCCACTTAGGATCATTAGAAAAAACCGGGGGTGGGTAGGGGATGGAAACCCAACCGACCAAAGGTCATAGCATCTCTCTTACACAATTATCTCAGCACTATCTTACCCGCACAGACTGACGGAACGTTCAAAGTTCAAGAGGAATCATCAAATGAACCCAACCAGAAGAACTAGACCCTCAGCTGGATCCAAAAATATGTAGGTTCCCCCACCGAACCAACAGTTGTTCACCCACTCTAACAAACTAAAATCCCTCGGCCGACACCCAACAGAGATTTAGCTTGACTTAGCTGATTGGTAATCCTTCCCCCTTAAATCTCGACAAACCTAGTCATTTGGCCTGACGATACTTCTGCGTCAAAAGCAAAACGCTTTTGTCAAAAGCGAAACGTTGCCCAGCAATAAATCCACCGATTGTCACCATACTTTTTCGAAAATAAATGAAATGTGGTTTTTATCGCTCCACATTCACAGTGGCACAGTGATTTTGCGGTTAACCTAGGCTTACCAGAGGAAAGTATACATGAAAGGAATGGTCTTCTCAAGCGCAATTTTTATTTGTTTTAGGGTTGGGTTAGTCAGACTCTATAACAGGAAAACCTCTGGAGTCCGCTTTTCCAAAGCAAAAAAGTGTGGCTTGTAGTGAATTAGTGAAAATTCGCGCTGCATGGTTTTCAGTGATAGGTTCGCTTTTGTTTTGAAACTGACCGCAGTCCACATGTTGTCTTGTACAAAGCTCACAACAGTAGGATGCAGCTCTGACGGACTGACCAATTTAGTTGGAATACGCAGCCAACCGAGTAACCGAAGAACAAAATTAAACAAAAATGAGATTCATAACCAAGGAAGGTATTTAGCTAAACGATGAAGCGCGGAAACCATTCGTTACAGGGGAGTGTGACCGATCAGTCGAGCCAAGGATTGTCAGCCAGAACGCAATCCAACTTGAGGATGGACCATTGGAGTCGATTAACTGGAATTACGAAAATAGCAGGATTAGAGTATCCAACCGAATTCAGAGGAGACGGACCACGAAGCAACATAAGTCGAAACTGTGCCACTCGGAACTTGGCTCAAAACTTCCAAAGAGAAGTTACCCA